ACAATTCTGAAGCATTCAAAACCTTATGGAGACAATGGGATAGACTGAAAGTCATCAATGGTCTGTTATACAGAGAGTTCCAAGAGGGGGATACAAACAAGGTCATATTACAATTGGTTGTACCAAAACAGAAGAGGTCAGAGGTTATTCATTACTTTCATGATGTCCCCACAGGAGGTCACCTTGGTGCTGAGAAGACCACATCACGTATCAAAAATTCATTTTATTGGCCATCAATGTCAAAAGAAATTGCTAGATATTGTAAAAGATGTGATTACTGTGCTGCTCGTAAATCCAGTCAAAAGCAGAACAGAGCACCACTAGGGCAGTACACAGTTGGAGAGCCAATGGAAAGAATAGCTCTAGACATTCTGGGACCCCTTCCTGAGTCTACAAAAGGTAACAGATACATACTGGTTATGATTGATTGCTTCACGAAATGGACCGAGGCTATAGCTATCCCGGATCAAGAAGCTGAGACTGTCATAACAACATTTGTCAATGAAGTAGTCTGTCGTTTTGGTACACCTTTACAAGTCCACTCAGATCAGGGAAGAAACTTCGAGTCAAAAGCCTTTAAAGAGATGTGTGAACTCCTCCATATTGACAAAACTAGGACAAGTAGTATGCATCCTCAAGCTAATGGCAGTGTCGAACGCTTTAATCGCACCCTAGCTACTATGTTGACTATGTACTGTGAGCACAACCAGAGAACATGGGATAAGTATCTCCCACAAGTCATGATGGCATACCGAGCTTCCATACATTCAAGTATCAATACAACACCAAATCTCATGATGTTAGGCAGAAATGTTACTCTACCCCTAGAAGCAGTTGTTGGCAAACCTCCAAATCAGACAGATGATGGCATAGAACCAAATGAGTATATTGATGAGCTGCAAAGAATTTTGACAGATGTTCATGCCCTGGCCAGGAAACACCTGAAAAAGAGCACAGAATACAATAAACGTCACTATGATCTCAAAGCAAAGAAACAATTGTTTGAAAGAGGTCAACCTGTCTGGCTGTATGACGATACCAGGAAAGTTGGAGTGTGTCCAAAACTAACTTCTAAATGGAAAGGTCCTTATATCATCACTAAGCGAATAGATGATTTGAACTACCTCGTGCAAAGGACATTCCGAAAACCCGCAAAAGTTTATCATGTTGATAGATTGATGTCTTACAAAGGGAAAACCCTCCCCAACTGGTTTAAGAAAATTTTGAATAAACCATAGAAGTTTCTTCAGATGTTGTTTTGTATTCTTATGTTTCACGTTAGTTTTAAGAAGTCATACTTAGATGTTTATGTAGACGATAGATGTGAGATTGATGCGCACCACTTAGGTTGGGATAGAGCTGGCCTGATCACCCAGAACTCTTCTCCCAAAGATGTTGATAGAGATGGTTAACAAGTCGTTTATAAGACAGTATTATAGACGTGGACCTACTACCTGGTACACATCACACACTGAATCTAATAGATGTTTGATGTCTTGTTCTAACCAGTCTCTTAGAGATTTAGATGTAGATGTTAGTACATGAAGTAGCTAACTTTAGAAGTAGAAGTATGAGATGACAGATGTTATGATTTCGTATTTAGTTTAAACAACGAAGAAACTCTCTTAGAAGCTAAGACGATATAAGATGACCCATAAACGCCTTTAACAACCAATTAATTTAATTTTAGACTATGGATATGGAATGTTGGGTGTGCCACCTGAAGTTTCCCTCCAGTAGAGACCTGAAGAATCACATGATGCCAGCCCATGGAACTATGCGAGTTATTTGCCCCTGGTGCCCTGATGAAAGGACTTACAAGAGAGTGACTGACCTCAGAAGCCATATTAAGAGTACCCACCCAACTCAACTTGCTAAATATCCGTCAGATTTGATTTCGGAGAACAATGGAGTGTGGTTTAGCCTCGACCCAGAAGGGTACAGTCGCCTGGTGAATGGGACGGATTGGGGAAGTACATCTGCCACCCACGCAAGAGTGCTAGTTTTAGAGTGGTTGTCAACAGCGAGGAGAATGTCAAGAAAGAAGGACGACTGGCAGGGAGGCTGGGACCAGCTAAAGAAGAACGGCAAAGCACGGGCACCAACCCCGGAATCACTCTTCCAGCCAGACTATGAGGAGGAGCTGAATACAGTGTGCTACACCCCCACCGCCCCAGAGGTAGAAGAGCTCGAGATTTTGTATGTCTCCCTCGTCCTGGGGAACATATGTGTGTTTGTGGGCCAGGGTAGACAGGTGTATAAGATCATCTTGAAGGAAGCAATTTTATCAGATGCCAAGGGTATAGCAAGCCTGTCTAGGAAAATGTCTGTCCAGAAGAGGGTTGAAGCTCCTCAGTCCAATCTACAGAAAATGAGACCGGTAACCTCACCAGCCATTCAGAATAGGTTGATTAAGTTTGTTGGAGTTGAACGTACTCATCTGGACCAGATTTACTCCTCCCAAGAGACAGAGGCCAGTCCTGCCATTCCTCCAACTAAGAAGATAAGGCTAAGCCCCACCCCAGCTCTCCCTGCACCACCCACAGAGGAAGTTTTGTTTGAGCTGGCCTCACAGAAAGAACCTAATGAAAAACCCAGGGCTAGTATGTCGGAGAGGGCCCTCAACCTATTAAAGCGAGGATGCCTCCCACTATTCCCCCCAGCCAGAAGGGATTGGAGTTCCACACAAATAACGCTTAAATACAAGGATGTAAGCATTACATGGCCCCCTACAGAGTGGCAGGCGATGTCTGCAGACAGAAAGCTATTATCGTGGGAATACGCATCAATGACGTTACAACAGCGGATGGACCCGACGAAAAGTTCCACCATCGAACGAATAGATCTTCTAGACAAGTTCAACTTCTTGGCACTTCCAGGCACAGTTGAGAAACAGGGGAAGAAAGAAGCGCACATTGTTCGCAAGGCTCGGTATTACATCTACGAACAGCTCAAGACCATTGTAAGTGAAGACAATGGAGATCCCACCTGGATAAAGATGCTGGAGAGATCATGTGCCCTCAGAGACCGTTCCACTGATGACTTCCTCTCCACCATTGACTCCAAGGACATTCCTATTAGATTGTGAAAGTGTTAAAGACTGTAAAGAGCTATATTCTGTACATGTTAAATTCAGGAGAATTTTGTAATTAAGTTGTGGGGAGTGTAATATATCACTTGATTTGTAAACGTAATATTATGCGGTCGTCCAGTTCTCATTCTTGTTTAATCTATGTTCAACATGTGCCTGCCAGAAAGTTGTTCGTTTATGATTTTATTGGAAATAATATGTCAGCTTATCTAGATACGATTTTAGTAATAGCTATTATCATCATAATTTACATGTTGTCGCTTCATGTAATATCGTAGGAGTTATAATATCGGGGAATAGAGGGTGGATTTTACTTTTCATGTTTTGGAAGCCATCATACTTTACTCGGATCGTCATTTCCGGTTTGGTGACCTATATGTATTTACTAGTAATGCATTGTTCTATTGAAGTTATGAATATGGGATCGTATTCTACTTTTTAGTTTGAGTTGTTTTGTGATTTGAAGCTACAAGTTGTTATTTATTGTTAGCATTCACTTTATAATCAGTCAGCTTTATCGGGACTACATTTGTGTACGCTAGTGTCGGTAGTTACGATATTCATACGCTACATTGTTCTGCATATATTGTACAGTCTAGGGATGTTTTATAAACATTGAAGGAATTTATTAATTTGTCTAGTCAAGCTTATTTTATGTGTTATATTTCCACTTGTTAATTTTACATAGTTTTACTAGTTACGATGTTGTACGGTAGCTTGTGTGGCAGAAGTAGTTCTGTGTGGGAACTTGTGTGGGAACTCAGCCTCCCGTACAAGCTTTTGATTGGTTAATAGTTCGTACGGCATAATTTTATTGGATAATTCGAGTCATGTGACAGGGAATGGGAGGTTATATAAGCAAGCGCGTACTACGTTACGACAGATTTCAGCTAGTTGTATGGCGGCTATATTTGAAAGTTAAAAGAAAGAAAACCAAAACGGTGAGATACTTATAATGTTATTTACGTATATTTAGCCTAGTTAGAAATCTCCTACCACACTGGACGACCTAAACTTGTATTTCTGAAGAATCAGCTGTTTTATATTGATGTTTACATATTGCATTGTTATGATTATGAGATGCTGCACATACAATAAATGCTGAGTATGACTGATCAACCATCTTGAGTATCATTCAACAAAGAATCTACACACAGTGGTGCCTGGTTGTTTAATTTACATAAGAACAAATTTGATTAGGCTACTGGTACATCCTGACAAAAGATGAAGATTTATTTAGAAGATAAACTATGGCCTATATAGACGCTGAGGATTCAGAAATACTAGCCACCCCTGGGGTAGCTTACAGTATTGTAAACATCATGAAGAAGAAATGAAAGCGCTTATATCATTTACAAGTTTATCTATTTCCTATGCATTTGACTTTTAATGATATTTCTTTTAAAAATGTGTTCTTTTTTCTCTCTTTTGCTTAACAGAAATTTAAAAAAACAATTGATTAAGTATATACCTCTAGGTTTAATATTTCACTCTTTACCTGGAATTTCATATTGGATAAAAAGAAATATTTTCTTACCATTTAAATCATATAAAATACATATACACAATCATCGAGAATTATTTTTCTTCAACAAAGAAGGAAAAATATTTATATCATTCCAGTCTATGTGTTGATCATTCTTGGAAACAATCACAAAATTCATGCCTAAAACTATGCTCGGTACCTTATGTGCAGTATTGTCGTGCGTAGTATTTCCAATGGTATCTTCTCAGTAGTCCTTTCTAACAATAGCCGATAAAATGTTTAATATATGGACTTACTCTACTCTGCCATATGATTTTAGTTTTGAGTATTCTTTTTTACCTTTGTAATTTATTTTTAACATGAACGGAAAACTTAATACCAATTTACTGCAGAGTAGAAGTCCTTCTTTAAAATAAGGTCCAATCTTATGATATTTCCATCGGTTGAGCTGGCTCGAAAATAGACAATTCCAAAACATTTAAAATACTTTCAATATGACATGCTAATGTTACTGGGGGTGAATGTTTACTCGTAGTTTTGCCAATAGCAAGGCCTAATGGTTGCTGAATGTTTCCTTTACTGATAACATAAACTGCAGCACCAGAATCTCCAGGTTCAAAAAAAGATTCCGTGCCCATATTTTCGATACAAAGACAATTGTTTAATGAAAAATAAACTCCGTGAGGACTCTGTAAAGGTTGTTTAACAGAATAAGGACACGATTTTAACCATATGCCTTTCGTTTTACCCGTTGTTCTCCCCATTTTAACAACCAGCTCATTTTCCGTAGAATTATTGCTGAATGAGAATGGTTGATTACTAGTCTCATCTGAAACTTGAAAAAGAAAAAATAAAACAAATTAGTCTTTACTACAAAATATTAAGATATGTGAAATTAGATGAACATTTGAGTAACGCTTGTGTTTTCTAAAAAATAAATCCATGAAATGCTATTTGTATTTAAGGTTTTTGTTCTACACTTACGTTCGAGCTGAAATTCATCCGTTTTAACAAAAGCTGCATCTACGCCAACAGAATTGTAATTGCCAAAAAATGAGTCTTTAACATTTCCGATAACTTTGCTAGCATTACTATCCTCAAAGGACGGATGAACAATTTCAAATACTTCATTCCGAAAGTCAGAATCAGAGAGTCGCTTTTCAAGTAACGTGTTAATGATATTTCCATTTAAAGCAACATGTGATGCCGTTAGAAAACCTTTGCTTGAGTCCAAAGAGTTGTTTTTTCTTTTCACAAAGAATCCTAATGTTCCGGATGATTTTTCTCCTTTTTTCCCAATACTACATCCATGATCTAATGTTTGGCAATTTTCACAACTCCCAAATAAAATAAAATCCTCAAGAATATCACATGGTATATCTCTAAGAAATTTTGGGATTTCTTCTTCCCCGAACGGTATCAAATTTGTATCTAGGCAGTATATAGCAATGCAAGGTTCTTGAACAATTTGATCACCTGAATATTTTATTGGACTCATACCAATAGCAATTACATTGGAATGTTTTGCAAAAATGCTTTCTCTTTCCTCTTGAATGATAATGTTTATATGTTTTTCCTTATCCATTGATATAGAGTGTCTTTTGGTCAGAGATTCATTTTTGGCGTCAGTGTTTAGACTTACATCAACGAATTCATAATTTGCATTTTCTGGCTCATTTTTCACATTCAGTTTGCAAAATGTTTTTGCTGTGTTTACATTTCCTAACACAAACACTTTCATAACTGGATTGTCATTTTTTCTTCCTGTTATGTAATGAAGAATTGATGGACAAAGTTCTATGTTTTCTATTTTGAAGTCCCTCAGTAGCCATTCACCAATGACTGCAATTGAAATACGATATTTGCGAAAAGAAAAGTATAAATAACCATTAAAATGAAAAAAAAACCAGCTGTTGAAATCCAATCGCTACTACAAAATGAATTAATCTTAAAATAAAGTGAAACATAGATTTTAGACCATTTTAAACTTACGCTTTCTTTGGTCTACAAGTGGAATCCCCTTACTAGCGTCTTCCAGTTTTGCATAGACCTCCATTAGTTCTTTTTCAGTGTGATCATAAACAGATCTTATTTTGTGTAGTACATCACCAATAATCACTGTTTTTTTTGCCAATATATTTTCATATATTTCTTTTGCAATTGTATTTCTCCATTCAAAGGAGTTGACATCAATTGGCCGAACAAGTGTAACCAATGACGGTCTAACTGCAGCAGCCACCTTTCTTATTCCAAGTGTTGGACCCCAATATCGAATTTTATCTGCTACAGTGACACTCTTTACTAGTCTATCAACCGCATTGATTGTAAAATCTTTTAATATTTTAACATTTACTTCATCCTGATTCAATTCTTTAACTATTTTTTGAGTTTGTTTAAAAATATCCCGCAAAAAAAAATCTGCAAAATTTTGTCCCACTTTTTCAAGTGTTTTCGAAATAAGTATTTCCTTTATTTGTCGCATCATGATTGGAGAACGACAAGGATAACTCCCATAACAAATTGTTCCGATATGTTGTCCGTCACTAATTACGTCAATATTAAGGCAAATCGTTTGAATTTCTTCCATTGAAAATACTGCATCTGCAGCTTCGTTAACTATTCCTTGAAAGTTTAGCATCAGTATGCTAGTCACAAGTTGTTTGACCTGGCCTTGGAAAGAATCTATTGTATATTTTGCACAGTAGGAAAGAAAGTCGTTGTTTGAATCTAATTCATGAAAGATTCTAATTCTATTTTCTTCAAATAAGTATTTGTATCTTTTGTAAACAGCTACTTTTGTATCTATAACAGACACAGAATGGCTAGTTACAAGAAATGACCATGGCAAATTCTTTATGCTTATGAAGTGATGCAAGGAATGTCTGGTCTGAAAAAACGAAATAAAAAAATTAATTTTGATTCGACTACTTCAGGTACAATTACCTAAATTAAGTCACAAATCTAATTAATATCGTATATGTATGACACAAATAATGTCGATTTTGTAATTTTGTATGACATGTATACTCAACAAAAAAAAGAAACGCATATTGTTTTACTTGTCAAAGAAATTTTTTAAATGTACTTGGAACAACTATCTTTTATATCATTGGATACCTGTGACCTATTTAAAGGACAACATGGGGTTTTAGAACCCAGTGTTGAATTATCTCCCTTGATTAAACGTGTTTATGAAAGTAGTGTTTTTCCTGATTTCTTCTAAATCGGATGTTTATTTTCGTTGACATTTTGGATTTAGAGAAACTATCAACACTCCTATTAAACCCATATTTAAGATTTGATTGCAGTTTGGATGCTGCAATGCCACGCCAAAACAAATAAAAACACAGCCAGGCTAACGATGATACTAAACGGAGCTACGCAACAAGAAGTTGCAACTGCATTTTGATGTTGGATAAACCATTCTCAACTGCATATTGAGTTTACACGAAGGCTCGTTTAATAGACCGAGGTCGGATCTGAGAAACATGGATTTAAAGTTTTCAAGTTTGCACAAGTTATCGCTTTTAAAGATTTTGATTATTGTCTCAAGAAAAGTCGAGGGCGTTGTATGAGCTACAGTGGGCGTATGAATATTCAATATATCATTGTCAAATGCCAGATTTCATTAAATATCAGGTATTTCAACCATCCTTACCTCCTGCACAGTAAGTTGTCCATTTAAGTGTTTTACTTCTACTTTGTGGATGCACACGCGTCCATGACCAGCATTTTTCTTTTCGCAAAGATTACTGGGATCAACCAAAATTACTTGACTCTCTAGAGATTTTAATCTGCTTTGAAAGTCGTTCAAGTGTAACGACTGTAGTAAATGATAAGCAAGGGAGTCATCAGATTCCTTTGGAGAAATATGTTTTGTCTTGCTTAGAACATCAACGACATCAGCAACAACCTTAGGTTCAAAGTAAAGAGTTTTTGGAAAATCAATCCCCTGCTCTGTAGAAAAGAAAGTGATTGTATAAAATAATAAATGATTGATTGCATGTGTATGATCTGAAACTCAATTTTAAAGGCGTCTTAAAATATTACCAATAATAGCTTTAACATAAAATAGGATCAAAGGGATTCATTTTTGTATTAATATTTGGACATTAACTCTAAAACAACTTATCCATACTTAAGAACCTTTTTATTTTTTCTTTTTAAATCGATTTGCTTTGATTGAAAATTTTTTATGTCTATATTCTTACCTTGATTTGTTTTGTGTGTTGTGAAATCTTCATATTCATTTTCTACTTCACTCATTCTGTATTGTAAGTTAGAGGCAATATCTCAGTAGGGTAGATAAAGTGTCTCCTTTGATTCAGTTTGTGACTTTTTGATTCTGGGTTTTTTTAGTCCGAAACTAACAAAAGCAAGCCCAAGGGTTATTTATTGTTAACGTTCATGCATTATTTACAAATCTTCATGATTCTTAAAAACTAGGTAGGTATAGCAAATTTTACGCTCATATGGTTTTTCGCACAAATTAAGTATAAATAACCCAAAAAACTTTTTTCTTCCAAAATTGTCGCCCGCGTGGCGCAGTGGTTAGAGCGCCTGCTCTAGAGTCGCGAAGGAAGGAGCTGATCCTTACGTCGCGGGTTCGAATCCCACTGTGGGGCGTTGAGACCAGTCCTTCGGATTAGACTATATAAACTGAGGTCCCGTGTCGCATTAGGTGCTGGCACGAAAAAGATCAATCACTGCTCAATAGCCCTCAGTGACGAGTATAGGGCAAAATTTGCAGCTGCTGTCCACCGACAAGTGGTGACGTCCCCATATTAGTGAAAACATTCTCGAGATGGACCTTAAACAATATACAATCCATCAATCTTCCAAATTCAGATATCTTTGCTAAATTAAGTGCCTTTCTTACTTAAGAATTGATTTTGTTTAGTTAAACAACTTAATGTTTTTCCAAGCCACATAATTTGGCAAAACGTGCAAAAATGCAATTTTACAGTTCAGTATGTTTTTTAAAAAGATAATAAATGTATTCAGTTTTCTTAGTTCAAAGTTTCTGACATTTTCAAGAGTGCATTTTAACACTTTTCGCAGCTAAAAAGAACTATATGTGGTATATTGCATATATCTGCCCCCACAAAAGTCAAATTTTGAAAAATTTTTGAAATGTGCTGAATTCCATTAATTGTATGAAAAATATCTACTAACGGGACATGTTATAGTTTCAAAGTAATTAATTGATTATTTTTGTTTTTATGACGTCACAAACTTGTCCGATATTGTATCATTTTTTTTTTAGAAAAAGGACAAAGTGGACAAAATTTCTAAAAATTTAGTTATAGAATTTATAGAGCACAAGTTTGCTCAGAAACGATATTTACATATTTCATTGATATTATCATTCTACATATTATATCAAAATATTGAACCTGACCAGACATGCGCTCGGTGATTTTTGTTCTAAAAAAATCGACGTAAAATATATATTTCTCTGTAGAAATCACGGAAATTTTCAATTTACGTCATTTTATTAACGTCATTTCAAACATATGATGTCATTGTTGATTAATATATTCAGTGCTTTGAAGTCAGCATATTTCCCCTGTTTTAAAACATAATTAAAAATTACTCTGTCAAAGTTTGATTTGGGAGGCAAAAATTGGTTATTACCGAATAAAGTCCTTTATGAATAACATTTCAATTGAAAGAATTATAAAAAAAAAATTCCAGTGTATCTTTTCTGTATGGGAGATAAGAAAACTGTTTTGTCTTTTTGAACAGTCGATTTTAACAGTACAAGTCAAAAGTAGCCGTAAGAGTCAAAATGCTGGATTTTACTTTCGTATAGTGTTACATAAGAACTGTTATATTTGGGATAAAAAACATTCTCTGCACTGCATAGCAAAGAAACATTTGTCTAAAGGCATACTGCCAACGACAATCATGAAATCGACAATATGTACAGGGTATTGGGAACCTAAAAAAAATCCTGCTTGACAGTTAGAGATTGTGAAAAAGTATTTAAAAATATGACGAAAAATTCTATATTGTATCAAATTTCTAAAATAATTCAAGTATTTGCCTTATTGTCACTAGTGCCTTGGCCTTATGTACTTTCATATCCTGGTTATTTACGTAGTGTTTATTAATATCCTCCATTTCAAGTTGAGGGTTTGAATATATCCAAACTATATGTTCTACGGTCTCACACTACTTACCTGTGCGTATTTCTCTTCAACATGATTCATAATTCATTAATCATAATTCTTAAAACCCTCGAATCATGAGTTTTCGTGGCATTAGGGCTAATATGGCTCCAAAACAAAAAGCCTTAACACACAAGCTTTTCCCATTGTTGATATCTAAAGTTCTTGTACTCGGATCACATTACATGTAATTTTGTCAGACGTTACGATTCCCACTTTAAAAATAAAATTAATAATCTTACCGTCTTCTTTATCTATAATGTATATCTTTGTCATTCCAGAATACAAAAGGTTTGTTTTAAATCCCCTTGGTGATTGGTGATCTCAGTGACACAATAACTCCACTTGAGAAACCCATTTCAGATATGTGTACCGGAAGGGGTACCTTTACTCTAATTCTTTACAATGTTTCTTTTATTTGCAAAATAATATGCAGTTTTTTAAAAATATTTGGACGAAATAGGATGGATATGCACAACTTACAGAATTAGCTATCTAATGTTTTTTAAAGCATCATTGACATCTCAATTACGATTCAGATAAGGATACAGGTGTATTGCAAGTTTGCATAAAAATGTTCACGCAATGATGCATGACGAAAACCCGTTGAATTTTTCTGAATGTATAAAAAGAATGCTTCGTATACAAAAATCTCAAACATGATTCAAATTCGTAGTTAAAGATCTTATTTTTAAGAATCCTCATATATGATATTTTATTTAAATAAAGTATAAATAAATAATACTGGATTGGGTTTTTTAAAGAATATCTTACCTGATTTTTAAAAGACAAGCCCCCAAGCGTCAAATCCAAACATGGAATAATGCCTTGAACTAAGATCACATTACTTGTGATCTTTTCAAACGTTTAGCTTTTCCTTTTAAAGATTCTTGGCGTCTTATTTATTCATAATGAATATCTTTGACTGTGCGGTTGCAGTGGGTGGAGTACTGCTTTGTATTTCTCCCCGGGAACCATCAAAGTATTGAGCGGTTTTATTCATTGTTTGTTATTTCATATACCTGAAATTATATAGGCAAAAATCGTTACATTTACTTTTCTCAAGAACAAGAATTTCTTTTGAATCATTATACCCGCACTTTCTTGAGAAAGTTCGGGTATATTGTTGTTACTCACGCCCGTCCGTCCGTCTGTCACACTTTTCTTACCTGAACTCCTCCTACATTTTACACAGTAGCCTTATCATCTTTTGGGAGATGGTTGGTGGTGTCATGTAGGTGTGCAGTAAGGTGTTGGAATTTTGATATTTTGCCCCCGGGGGTCGGGGTCGAATGGGGGGCGAAAAATGACGTTTTTTATGCAAAAAAAGGCCGTCTTCCCTGAACTCCTCCTATACTTTACACAGTAGCCTTATTATCTTTTGGGAGATGGTTGGTGGTGTCATGTAGATGTGCAGTAAGGTTTTGGAATTTTGATTTTGCGCCCGAGGGTCGAATGGGGGTAGAAAAATGACGTTTTTTATGCAAAAAGCCGTTTCCCCTAAACTCGTCTTACATTATACGTAGTAGCCTAATCATCTTTTGGGAGATGGTTGGTGGTGTCATGCAGATGTGCAGTAAGGTTTCGGTATTTTAATTTTGTCCTGGGGGTCAAATGTGGGTAGAAAAATGATTTTTTTATTCAAAAGCCCCGTTTTCCCTGAACTCGTCCAACAATTTAAACAGTAGCCTAATAATTTTTGGGGAGATAGTTGGTGTTGTCATGTAGATGTACAGTAAGGTTTCAGAATTTTGATTAAGTCCCCGGGGGTCAAATAGCTGTCAAAATATGACGTTTTTTATGCAAAAAGCCCCGTCTTCCCTGAACTCCTCTTACATTTACACAGTAGCCTAATCATCTTTTTGGAGATAGTTGGTGATATCATGTAGATGTGCGGTAAGGTCTAGAATTTTGATTTTGCAATCGAGGGTCAAATGGGGGTCAAAATAAGCCCCGTCTTCAATGAACTCCTACTTCATTTTACACAGTAGCCTAATCGTCCTTTGGGAGATGGTTGTTTGTGTCATGTAGATGTGCAGTAAGGTTTTGCAATTTTCATTTTGCCCTGAGGGGTCAAATGAGAGTAGACAAATGGCGTTTTTTATGCAAAAAGCCCCGTTTTCCCTGAATTCATCCTCTATTTTACACAGTAGCCTAATCATATTTTGTAAAATGGTTGGTGGTGTCATGTAAATGTGCAGTAAGGTTTTGGAATTTTGATTTTGCCCCCGGGGGTCAATTGGGGGTCGAAAAATGATTTTTATTTTAATGCAAAAATCCCTGTCTTCCCTGAACTCCTCCTACATTTTAAAAAGTAGCCTTGTCATCTTTTGGGAAATGATTGTTGGTGTCATGTAGATGTGCAGTAAGGCTTCGGTATTTTCATTGCCCTGGGGGGTCAAATGGGGGTTTAAAGATGATGTTTTTTATTTTAAAAAACCCGTCTTTTTAAACTCCTCCTACATTTTACACAGTAGCCTAATCATCTTTAAGGAGATAGTTGGTAGTGTCATGTAGATGTGCAGTAAGGTTAAAGAATTTTTATTTTGCCCCCGGGGGTCAAATGGGGTTCACAATATGCTGTTTTTTTATGCAAAAAGCCCTGTCTTCCCTGAACTCCTCCTACATTTTACAGTAGCCTAATCATCTTTTGGGAGATAGTTGATGGTGTCATGTAAATGTGCAGTAAGATTTCGGTATTTTCATTCTGCCCTTGGGGGTTAAATGAGGGTAGAGAAATGAAGTTTTTTATGCAAAAAGCCCCGTCTTCCCTAAACTCCTCCTACATTTTAAACAGTAGCCTAATAATCTTTTAGGAGATGGTTGGTGGTGTTATGTTCATGCACAGTAGGTTACGGAAAATGATTTTAGTGTGTGGGGTCAAATGGGGGTAGAAAAATGATGTTTTTTATGCAAATATTCCCGTCTTCCCTGAACTCCTCTTACATTTTACTTAGTAGCCCAATCATCTTTTGGGAGATGATTGTTGGTGTCATGTAGATGTGCAGTAAGGTTTTGGAATTTTGATTTCGCCCGGAGGGTCAAATTGGGGTCGAAATTTGTTTTGTTTTGTTTTTATATTTAATATGTTTA